AAAAGAAGAAGTTGGAAGGAATACACAGAGTCACTGTACCAAAAAGAATTGGTCGATGTTCATCTATTTCAGGAGGTGGACTATGATCAAGAATCAAAGGTACTAAAGGAAGAAGTCAAAGCTGCACTGAGGGAACTGGTGAAAAACAAGCCGCCAACTTGGAAACAATTAGTCCAAGTATATGATGGAACTCGAGACCAGAAGAATTAGATGATGCCTTGCTACCAATGCCAACCACTCGGGAAGGGATCAAAACTGGAGATCCTGGATAGAGTGGAAGGAAAAATGTGGAACAAAACTAAAAAACACAATAATGATCAGAATTACTAGTCAGATGGAGTGTGGTGGGACCCCCAAGACTATGGTCCTGGGATACCCTTCGGGCCTGGGATAGGACCCACTCCCAAGGACTGGCCCTCACCCCAACAGTAGAAAGACTTATATGCAGAACACCCAAGTCAGGGCAATGGACCCACTTTACTCTATGGAGATACGACCCTTAGAGCAATTGGCCATGGGGCACCAGAGGGGCAGCATTCACATAGAGGGAAAGCTGGACGGACAGGAGTGCATAGTTAAGAAGGGCATGGGGGTGGTTCACAGAAGGGAGGGGAGGAGAGTGGCCTAGGGTTAAGGATGGTAATTAGGGTGTGAAATCAAATATACACGAACTGTTGAATGTAAAACAAATTCTGTTTTGTAAATTTGCATCCAAAGCACAATTAAAAAATAAATGAATAAAGTAAAATGGTAAGCAATTCTAGAGTTGGGTTTATGAAAGTTTCCAATTAAAGCAAGTTTTATTATAAAAAAAAAAAAAAAAGGAAAAGAAAAGAAAAACAAGGCCTCAAATTGATGAAATACCCATTAAGATGTTTCAACAAATGGACGCTGCCTTAAAGGCACTTACTTGTTTATCTTGTTTATTTTTTGGTGTTCCTTGGTGTCTGTCTTACCCCTGTGTGTCTCTGTGTCTATTCTTCTAATAGGATACCTCTCAGAAGTGACTAGGTTTAGGACCTGATCTACTCTGGTATGGCTTCATTAACAAAGGAAATCCCCATTCCCAAAGTGGGTCATGTTTACAGGTACAGGAGTTAGGATTTCAACATATATTTTTGGGGAGAGAAAATAATTCAATACATAATAATGGCCAATGTACTCTGACCCAAAACAAGTAAAACAAAACAAAACAAAAACCACTTCCATTGAGTCGATTCTGACTCAGCGACCCCATTGAGCTTCTGAGGCAGTAAATCTTTACGGCAGGAGATTGTCTAGTCTAGTTTTACATGGAGTGGCTGGTGAGTTTGAACCATCAACCTTCTGGTTAGCAGTCAAATGCCTTAGGCACTGTGCTATCAGAGCTCCAAAACAAGTAAGTATATAATAAATTTCAAAAGCTTCTCCCTAAGATCCTGGATAGAGTAGGAGAACAATGTAGAGCAAAACTCATAATCATAAAATTAAAAAAAAAAAAAAAAGTGGGGGGTGGGGATTAGGTTTGCTGGTCTGATAGAGCCTGGTGAAACTCCTGAGTCTACAGCCCTTAGCCACTCTTCAGGTCTGGAATTGAACCCACTCTTGTGGCTTTCAGCCAAATAAAAGACAGGCATATAAGGTGAACATTTATATCAGGTAGATACACTCCTTGGAGAGAACAATCATGGGAGAAAGAAGGGCTGTGTATGCACAGGGAGACAGCTCAGGGGGCAGGAGTGCATGAGAGGGAAGGACACAGGGAAGAGGTAGCTATGGGGGGGCAGTGGGAAGAGAGCTGTTGTATTGCGGGAAGTTGCAGTTGATATCATGAGACAAAGTGTATGTGAACTGCTGTATGGAAAGTGAATTTACTCTGTAAACTTTCACCCAAATCATAATTAAAAAAAAAAAAAGGCTTCTCCCTAAATGGCTGAAGTAACATTAGTCTTGGCAGCCTCTGGAATGCCAGGAGTTTCTGATGGAGGTGCATGTATGCAGGGACTCTGTACTGTTTGCTTAAAAGGTTTACACTGAATATGCTTCCATGAGTCAAGAGTTTTCCATAAAGCGCCCTGCTCTCACGCCAACCTTGTAAAGCGGGATTAACTCCATTTTAAAGAAGAAAGAAGCTATGCCAGGTGAAACCTGCCTAAGGGCTCATGGTTAGTAAGAGAGGAGGGGAAGGTTTGACATTTAAAGCCAAGGCTGTTGATTCCAGAGCCTCTGTGCTCTTTTCACGTGACCATTTTAGAAATGCTGGTTGGAACATGGTGAAAATGAGCATAAAATAAGCATTAAGGAAACACTGGCAAGTGGATGATTACAAAGGAGCAGAAAAAACAGAAACATAACTAATCATTCAGAAGTCTTCATATCCTCACCATCTTTCCCTGTTATACTAAAACCCCCTCAATTTGAGAAGTTATTTTTCCACTTGTGAGTTACTCAGCATGTTTTAACTAGAATAACTAACGATATTGATGCCTTACTTGCTCCCCTTCGACAATTCTAACATTAGGAGTTTCAGAAAGTCGCTATTTCTAAAGTCAAACACACCCAGGAGTTGAAAATGCAAACAAATGATTTTCATCAAGGCCACATAACAGCAGAAACACAATTCTTCATGCCTAAGTCTTCTCAGCTTCAAGGAGACAATACCAGAAGGAAAGGGAATTAGGGACATTAATCCATTGCCACTGAGTCGATTCCAACTCATAGCAATCCTATAGGACAGAGTAGAACTGCCCCATAGGGTTTCTAAGGCTGTAAATCTTTACAAAAGCAGATCGCTTCATCTTTCTCCCACAGAGTGGCTGGTGGACTCGAAGATTTTTGGTTAGCAGCTGAATGCTTTAACCACTGCACCACCACAGCTCCTAAGTCATTAGTATCACTTAAATGGAACATTAAAAAATAAATAAATAAAAACTATAAACTATGTCCTAATTTTTTTTTTTTATATGTTTTCTCTTCTACCCTACAGTATAGAAAAATTTCTGGGTTCACATATGCACTTTCTGAACTAAGATGCAGAAATGCTTTTTAAACAACTCGATTTGATTCATAACCTACGCTACTAACTTTTTCATGTTCAAAGCATCAGAAAAAGAAAACTACCGACAAGATAAAATAAAACATCCAATCATTTCAGAAAACAAAACCGTACTGTTTACTTAAAGCAAGAGAAAACCAAGTTATATTTGATTGCCTCAAATATATTGCCTAAAATAGTTACAAGTTCTAATATGGTATTCAAAATTTAGTCAAAAGAAATGGTGAAGAAAAAGTCTAGATTTTAGGGTAACGTTGAAAACATAAGCGTTACTTAAAGCGTAAACCTTTTGCATTATGAATTAGTGCAGTTTCTTACATCACAATAATTAGTAACCCATAAAGCAATTAAACAAAGCAATTAAACTTCAGTTCCACAGAAATGGGAAAATTCCAAAGTTACAGTTTACCTAGAAATAGAAGAGCAGTAAGAACATCCATCTCTTAGTATCTTTCTGAACGCCAACGTATCCAACAGTAAAGAGCTCAGACCCAGCCAGCCTAATTTACCCTGCAAAATTTTCCTTAAAAAATATGGCTGAAAATTAGCTCTCCTAAAACAGAAGGTACTTTCAGAAGAGTTATATAAGCAAAACACACAGGCCAACTCAGTGACGTGGAAACCAGCTCATACAAGAGAAACGCAGCAAACACAAGCATCCCACATTCATGTCTCAGAACCTGTCAGGTCTCACAGGAAAATCAGGGATGATTGAAATGTTCTACCTCTCCAACCGAAGGACAGAAAATTTTTAACGAAAAGCTGTAGTGAGGGTCCTACGTACTTTTTGGAAAGGATTCATACTTTACAGTTCATTAACCATCTGGAGTGTCTTTAACCTTCTTAGGCCATGTTATTTTGATTTTTTTTCCCCTTCTATTTTTAAAGGACAGAGTATTTTTTATTCTCTCTACTATTAGAAATAGTCTGTCACCTGCACCAGATGTGTGCATGAGAATACGTCAGAAACTAAAAGGGAATCAGGGAAACCTGCACAAAGCCACCTCACTCCAAACCACTTCTCCCAAATGCTAAGTCTTTTCCCACGTACCTCAGAGCGTAGAGAACATCCCACACACTAAGCTACCTGCTCTTCTTTCTATCATTCAAACTGCGACAGAAATACCACCTCCCCACAGAGCCATCCAGGGTGGCAATAGATGCCAACCACTGAGTCTCCCAGCCAGCAGTGTGAGGCCGTGAAACTGCGGGAAGTCCACGTAACAGCAGAAACATGATTCTTCATATACAAGTTTTCTCAGCTTCAAGTAGACAACACCAGAAGGAAAGGGAATCAGGGCCAGCCTGTCTTTGAAAGTAGAAGAGGTGGTTCGGTGATAGAATTCTTGCCTTCCACGCAGGAGATCGAGGTTCCAGTCCAGGCCAATACATCTCGTGTGTAGCTTGTCTGTCAGTGGAAGCTAGTGTGTTGCTAGGATGCTGAACAGTCTGACTGTAAGACAGACTAGGACGAAAAGCCTGGTGATTTACTTCCACAAGTCAGCCAATGGATCCACAGGGAAAACCCTATGGATCACAATAGTTTGATCCATAACTGATCCCAGGGATGGCACGGGTCCAGGCAGTGTTTTGTTTCATTAGGTTGCCATGAGTTGGGGGCCAATTAAACATCAGCTAACAACAACAGCCTTTCAAAACGAATTTCAAAATCATTCCACAAAAAATTTATAAAAAAAACCTACTATGTGCTGTTTCCTAGGGTACAAAGGGAAACAGGATATGGTCATTACCCTTAAAGAGCAGACAAGCCTTGTGGAGGAAAAAGACAAAATAATTGAAAATTCTAATACTGTTGGTTAGTGCAAGGAAGGAAACAAGTTCAGGATACTCTGGGAATACCAGAAAGAAGCACCAAACCCAGTTAGGTCACAGAAGGTTTCCTAGAAGAGAAAAGGCAAGAGCTGAGTGAATGGTGTGGGGAAGAGGTTGGGAGGGAGGTATGGGATCTGGGCACAGAAAGAGAACAAGTTCACACATGCAGAAAATGCCAAGCAACTTGGTGAGGTATGGCACAGAGTTCGAGGTGAGAGCGGGGCCCAAGGGAGGACAAAGGGCCTGCCAGAAGACAGCAGGCCACTGTCGAGGGACCGCATACAACAGGGCACTGGGACTGGATCAATGTTTGAGATGACCATTCTGGGGTCATTGCTGTGGGGTGCATGTTTTAGGGCACAGCCTGAGAACAGGGATCCCGGGAAGGCAAAGTGCTGGATGATGCGGTGTGTAGGCTGGTGTCATCAGCTGTGGCTCTTCCCTAGCCACCACACCTGAGTGGCACTTCCCACTTGAAGCCCCGCTGCCCTAGTTTGGTACCATGTGACCTAATCCACCCACCCCATCCCAACAACTGCAGCCTCACAGCTGACTGAACAGAGAATGGACACTGAACCCTCAAACAACCAACCAGTGGGCCAAACACCTCTACCCTGTGTGGCTTGGCACCAGGAGGCAAGCTAGGCCACTCAGTGTCTCTGCCTTGGGATTCTGAACTAAGAACCTGGGAATAATGAAGCACTTTGAGAATCCATGTGCATCATGAGGCCTAAAACACTCAGTGGCTTAGGATTCTTACTGGCAACCATCCACTATTAGCACAATAATAAAAGGCTCATTTGTTTCTGTTTTTTCATTTTTATTGTGATTTGGGTGAAAGTTTACTGAGAAAATTCACTTTCCATACAGCACCTTGCATACACTGTCTCATGACACTGACTGCAATTTCCCACAACGTAACAGCTCCCCTCCCATTTCCTCCCCATAGTTACCTCTTCCCTCTGTCCTTCCTTTCCATGCACTCCTGCCCCCTGAGCTGTCTCCTTGTGCATACACAACCCTTCTATTTGCCAATGATTGATCTCTCCAAGGAGTGTATCTACCTAATGTAAATGTTCATCTCATATGCCTGTCTATTGTTTGGCTGGAAGCCACAGGAGTGGGTTCAATTCCAGACCTGAAGGGCAGCTAGGGGCCATAGTCTCAGGGGTTCCATCAGGCTCTATCAGACCAGCAAACCTGGTTCCTGATTTTTTTTTCCCAATAATTTTGAGTTTTGTTCCACATTGTTCTCCCACTCTGAAAAGGATCTCCTACACAGATCTCTCTCTGAGTGGTTGACAGTGGTAGTTGGGCACCATCTACTTCTTCTAGACTCATAGTCATATAGGCTGAGGGTTGCATGGCGTATCAGTCCCTTGGACTAATTGTTTCCACTTGTCTTGGTTTTTTAATAAAAGGCTCATTTGTTTTAAACCTCAGTATCACTTAAAAGACAAAGGCTTTCAGGCCTGCTTGTTTCTTACCCACTTCTTGTTAGCTGTCAGCTCCAACTCATGCACTACTAAATGAAACATTGCCTAGTCTGCACCATCCCACAATAGGTTGTAGATCAGACTATTGTGATCCATAGGGTTTTCACTGGAAAGTAGATTGCCAGACCTTTCTTCCTAATCCACCTTAGTCTGGAAGTTCTGCTGAAACCTGTTCAGCATCATCATAATAAAACGCAACATACTGTGGTCGAGTCGGATCCAACTCATAGCGACCCCTCTTTGGGTTTCTGAGGCAGTTATCACTATGGAAGTAGACTGCCCAACCTTCCTTCTGAGCTGTGGCTGGTGGGTTTGAACCGCCAGCCTTCCGATTATAGCAACACATAAAATTCCACTGACAGTTAGGTGGTGGCTCGCTTGAAGTGCAATCAAATCCTGAGTCTCCTTCATGGAAGGCAAGAATTCTATCACTGAACCACCACTGTCCTCTCCTACCCATTAGGGCCCCCTATTTCAGAACGAAGGCCCCTCCCCCAACCCAGTTATACTCACAGAACTGCAGGCTGAGGCTCACAAAGGCCAGCAGCGCAGCCAGGGCCAGCAGCAGCAAGAAGCGATTGCGGAAAAGCATTATTATTTGTTCTATCTTCTTGTCATGGTTTCACCTCAAATCGGGAACATGCCCTGTGAATAAAGCAGAGGCAATAAATGTGCGTTCAGAGGTGGAAAACCAAGTTTGTCAACTGAAAATAATCCATTTAGCACAGTTCTCTGGCAGGGAAGCCAGAGAACAATAGCTCACTTTATGATTAATCTGTGCCCCAAATAAGCTCAATAGAGAATGGTCCCTTCGAATAAATAAGAGCAAACCAGTTCACAAATGCTTTGTTTATCCACCATCAGCAGGGAATGAGATATTTTATAGACGTGACTTTTCCAAAGAAAACTGTAAAGGAAGTTTATTGAGCACTTACAATGTGCCAGGTAATGAAGTCTTTAAATGGATCCCCACCCCCACACACACAAAAAACCATCAAGTTAACTCCAACTCATAGCGACCCCCATTAGGTTTCCGAGGCTGTAAATCTTTATGGAAGTAGATTGCATCATCTTCCTCCCACGGAGCAGCTGATGGGTTTCAACCGTTGATCTGGTTAGCAGCCAAAAATGCCTTACCCCCTGTGGCACCAGAGCTCCTGTTAACTCTGTTATGACCACCAAGTTATAAATCCTCACTCTTTCTTGATGAAAACCTTGCTAAGATAACCCTGGTCTTCTTTAGTTGTAACCGTTAACCTAAACATTAATCACTACCAACATGTTCCACAATAATGCCTTTGGGGAGAACCAGGCTGTACAATAGAGGACTTGCTCCTAAACGAACCAGCCCCTCTACCTGTTAGAGCCTGTCTCTCATCCTGCACCACTTCACCGGCTGCGGCTGTATCCATGGGTCATCATGAGCCCCATCTCACCCATTCAAATTTCCTCAAACCATATTCCAGTCCTGCTGCCTTCAGGTTGACTCCACCTCACGGTACTCCATGTACCATGCCAGAGTAGAACTGTGTGCTCCACAAGATTTTCAATGGCTGAGCATTCAGAAGTAGATCACCAGGGCTATCTTCTAAGGTGCCTCTTAGTGGATTCGAACCTCTCACCTTTCAGTTAACAGCTGAGTGTATTAAGCGTTTGCAGCACTCAAGTTCTCCCAAACCATATTCTAAAAACCTATGGCATCAAGCTAATTCTGACTCAGAGTGACCCTATATGACAGAAAAGAACCTCTCCATACGGTTTCCAAGGCTTTATCTCTACAGAAGCAGACTGCACATCTTTCTTTAGCAGAGCGGCTGGTGGGGTTAAACAACAAACCTTTAGATTAGCAGCTGAATGTTTAACCACTGTGCCACCAGGGTTCCCTCCAAACCACATTAGAACTCTGCAAAAGAAATTTTTACAAGTGCAGAATGAGGCCCTGTCATAGATTGAACCGTATCCCTCCAAAATATGTGTCAACTTGGCTAGGCCATGATTTCCAGCATTGTGTGGTTGTCCGCCATTTTATGATCTGATGTAATTGTCCTCCATTTTGTGATATGTGTTATAAATTTTAACCTTTATATGTTAATAAAAAAGCATTAACGAAAACCAAAAACCAAACGCACTGCCATCAAGTTGGATCTGACTCATAGAGACCCCTTCTTGGGTTTCCGAGATGATATCAGTACGGAAGTAGATTGCCCAACCTTTCTTCTGAGGAGTAGCTGGTGGGTTATATCTTATGACTCAAGATAAAAGAGGGTATGACTAAAGTCTCATCCTTACTCAAGTCATCACCCTTAGACAATTATTCAAGTGATACCCTTACTCAAGTCACCACCCTTGCTTGAGTCACATCTTTTATCTTACAAGAGATAAAAGGAGAGAGAAGAAAGCAGAGAGGAGGAAACTGATTACCGCCAGGTAAGAAGAGCTGGGAGCAGAGAGCATCCTTCTGATCCAGGGTTCCTGCACTGGGAACATCCTAGACCCAGAGGAAGATTGATGACAAGACACATGGAGATCTCCAAGAAACACTAGACCCACAGATGCTGAAAGGAGAAAAGGACCTTCCTCCAGGGTTGAGAGAGAAAGCTTTCCCCTAGAGCCAGTACTCTGAATTTGGACTTCTAGACTCCTAAACTCAGAAAATAAATTTCTGTTTGTGAAAGCCATCCACTTGTGGTATTTCTTTTACAGCAGCACTAGAGAACTAAGACAGGTCCTAAATATCCCTTCTGTGAAAAAAAGTGACGGGCTGCTGCAAGTTTTATCTTGGATATCAAGTTTATTTTCTAGTTCTCATAGGGGGTTTCAAGTAGAACTTGAAAACCATAATGTCTTCAGAATAAGTTCTTTAACTGCAGGTGGATTATAATAATAATTTCAAACTTGCTTTTTGTAGCAGAATCTTTTCCATGTTCAAATGCAACGTGCTTCAAGGCCCCAGTAGACATTTTTTTTTTAAAAGTCTATTTTGCTGATGTAGTGAGGATTGCACAATTATGTATGTGCAAAAACATATGAAAAGCTGTGGGAGTGTACACTTTCGGTGGATTGTGTGGTATGCAAATTATATCACAATAAAGCTGTTAAAAGGCAAAAAAGCACATGCGACAGGATTAAGCAGGAGTGGGAGCCCTAGAGCCTTCGTCTTCCCAGTCTCCCAACCCCCACCCCCACTCCATGGCTGCAAAAAGAGCAAGGAGGCCACATCTTCTGACCTCCTCTAACCCACAAGAGGAGGACAGAATCACCATCAATAGCCCAAGGCCTATTACTGCAAAGCCAGACATGATGCGGCCCCCCTCCAGCCCTTACACCAACTGTTCCTCCCAAAGCACCCACCACCTCTCTCCTGGGTTCGATAATTCACTGCAGTGGCCACACAGAACTTACAGATTATGGGTTTTATTAGAGAAGCACCAGGCTACAATTCAAGTTCAGGAAGAATGCTCAGTCTCTCTCCCAGCCCACAGTCTCTCTCCTAACAGTCTCTCACAGTCTCTCTCCCAACAGTGAGTGTCCCTCAGTGTCTCACTCAGCAATGCGTGTCTCTTGCATCTCTTTCCCAGCAGCATGTGTCTCTTTCAGGAGCGCATATCTCTTTCAGCAGCACGTCTTCCTCAACCAGCAGTCAAAGAGAGACGACTTCTGCCTCTAGGAGGCCTCCTTTTGAGCCCGGCAGAGTCAATAACATCAGAATTCTAAGCACCTGAGAGAGAGCAAGAACCCCCCCAGAACATTACTTTGTGTTGCGCCCAAGAGAAATATCCCAGGTGGATAACTTTTACAATCAGGAGCTCCTCAGTTGCTCACAGCAAATTCCACCACAGTTTACAAAGACTTATGGCTAGAAAAGCCACAATAAGTAATTTACTACACGGCAATGGCCTATAAACCAAAACCAAACTCACTGCCATTGAGTCGATTCTGACTCACAGTGACCCCCTTTGGG